GGCAACGATCCAGATCCAGATGGTTCTGGAAAAATGGATGAAGTCAAACAGTATCTTTTTCTTTTTTATATATATGAGTTAATAACCACACCTTATTACAATGGCGTATTAGGGCCATTGTAGAAGGAAAAGAGAAAAGAAACGAGTACATTTCTGCCCAAAAACAGCTTTTTTTACTTTTGGAACTTAAAAAATGTCCACGTTTTTCCAGATAATTTCTTAAATTAGTCTCAAAATTTCTGATTATTTTTTAGCAAAATTTTGACTTTGAGCTCAGAAATATCCAAGTTTTTTCTATAAATTTTCTAAGCTAAATGTCATGTTTTTGGCAGAAATGTACTCCTTTGTTTTGTGTCTGCAGTAATCCCAAAACGTCGTCGTACTTTATCCCCGTTGTTTTTACCAACTTTATTAGTTCTACAGTTGCACAATAATGGAAAACTGTAAAAAAGCATTTTTTTCTGTTAAAAACAGGATCATTTATTTGTACAGACAGGAGCCATTGCAGTAATAGTCACACTACAAACTGTTTGACAATTTGATTTCAAAAATCAAGGTTGCGTTCTAATTTCTCTTAGTAAATTCAATCTAATCCACAAAGCATAGAAATAATCCAGACAGGCTCATTGGTCATGATGAAAGTCGGGGAGCGTCAGAAATTGTTTTCCCAAGTTGATTTTACCAACTTGGCTCCTGCTTCTTGAAGTGGAGCTAATTTGTCTGAACGTAACACACTTCGTTGGGACTCACTGACGGCGAAAGTTTAAATTATCTAGCTTGGAGAGCGACCCATAACTCCTGACGTGTTGGTCAGGTTGCTGAGTTTGTCTCACACCACATTTATCACATTGTGATAAATGTCTGTTCATGTCTGCGCAGCTCCATATGACCATATTTTAAGGAGAAATCAGCTAAATAAACAGTATTCGGCTCCCAGATGTCTGTGTTTTGACAGGCTTTACCGGAGCACATTGGTTGTTTTGGTGTCCGTCATGGCGGAGTGGGCGGAGTGTGAAGAGAGTGACGTCACATTCAAACGCAGTGGAATTCTTTTTGAGTTGCTAGGTAACGGGGCTGGGCTCGGCTTGGGTTGCTAGGTAACGGGGCTGGGCTCGGCTTGGGTTGCTAGGTAACGGGACTGGGCTCAGCTTGAGTTGCTAGGTAATGGGGCTGGGCTCAGCTTGGGTTGCTAGGTAACGGCAGAGTGCCTGTGGAATGTGACATTTGAAAGGGCTCGCTAAAAATCATGAACTTTTTGCCTAAAGTGGCTGGGTCGGTTTTTTAAGCGTCTGGCTGTTTTTAGAAGCAGTGAGATTGAAGAACAAAAATCTGAAAAAAGTGAATTTTCATAATGGGTCCCCTTTACAAAAGTGTCTTCATGATGATTTGATATGGTCTGGGGTTTAATTCCTAAACTCGCCGTTCAGCGCTCGTTTCATCCGCGCCGTGTCGGAGCTGGAGTTTCTTGGTTTCATCAAAGCAACCAAGAAGAAGACGGATCATGTGGCCCGGCTCACCTGGGGAGGATGCTAACAAAACTAACAAAACAAAAAACGTACCGCTCTTTTTGTTTTCACAACCAATTTGGGTCAATTTCTTTCTAATAAAAGGTACATATTTATTTTTCACCGTTTCGTTTATGTATTTGTTTTGCTGGAAGGTTTTTCTCTTACTCTAAATTAACTTTAGTATTACAGGACTGTAAAGAAGCAGTAAACTGCTCTCAAATTTCACTGCGGCAAAACTAGCCACTATTCAGAAATGACAGTAGAGCCGTTACCTTGTTCCCTTATTGACTGAAGCTAAATTTAAGTTGCTTTTTATGCATTTTTCTGCCTTCCTGTTCACTTTCTGTTACCATGGATACCTTATACAGAACGTTGCCAAAATAAAAGCATGAAACTTTAGCTGCAGCTACAAGAAACAAAGTAACTACATTCAATTGGCCTTTACACCAGATATGATGGTTTCTCCTCTACAAGGCAACAAATGTAGTTTTGGAAAGGAGCCACAAACATTAAGAAACCATTTTGTAGAAGAAAGTATCAGAACAAAACAAGCGACCATTTTGAGGCTGGAGAAGTGAATGTTACAGAAAATATGGATCCTGAAGAACTGAATGACAAACATTCACTACCAGAAAACAGAAGGTTTATGGGATAAATGTTTGGCAGTGCTTTTGTTTTTATTGTGTTGTATGTTACTTCCTTTTCTCGTTCTTTACTTCGCTGGCATTTCCACAGTCTTCCGTTTTGCCATCAGTTTTTTAAAGCTAAGCTTTGGCAGCTTTAACTGGGAAAAAGTTTTCACCAGTTTCCTGTTTGCAGGTTCTCACCGGCTTCCTGCCGTAGCCCATAAAGGTTTAGTGTGCTTTAGATAATAGCACACAATGAATAACTATTATTACTATTCATGTTAATACATTATCATGTAATGTATATTATATTTAATTATTACATATCTTAAATGTGTAAATAACCATAACTGTTATTGCAGAAAATTTGAATGTTTCATTTTGCCAGTCATTTTTAAATATTTGATTTTGCATTTTCTGCCTAGTGCTGCTCTATTAGTTTGTTTTCCCTCAACTACAGAAGTTAGTGGCTTATAGTTTCAGTTAGTAGTTGGTTTTCACGGAGCAACTGGAAGCATTGCTTCATCCTGGCTGTCCCTCAGGTGTGTCGATTGAAAAAGTATTGTTCAGAGTCTGGTGTGGATGAACCCGACCTCAGCCCAATAGACGGATTAGAGCGGAGAGCCAGGCCTTCTCGTCCAACATCAGCGTGTGACCTCACAAATGCACTTCTGGAAGAATGGTCAAAAATCCCCATAAACACACTAAACCTGGTGGAGAGCGTTCGAGAAGAGCTGAGGCTGTTCTAGCTGCAAAGGATGGACCGACGTCACCCTGAGGAGAGAGAGGTCACTGGAAACAGTGTTTCAGCAATAAGCATGGCAACAAAATATCACATTGTCTTATTTAGCTGGGCTCTTGTTTTGAAATTACACATCAGGTCCAGATGTCATTTGCTGGGTGTCTTCCGTTTTTCAGCAACATGCATGTAAACTTTTGGAAAATAAAATAAGTTGCAATAAGTTCCATAATGCAGCTTGAAGTGTGACGCAAAAAAGAAGTGAATCATTGAAAATTTTCAGAAATTTCCACAAGCAAAGATTCTCAACTCTCGATTTATTGTTTTTTTTTTGTTTGTTTTTCTCCACTAAAGTACATCGGTTGCAAACTGATACCAGCTGGGAAAAAGAAACTTTAAAATAAATACAGACACTGGTGGGAATAAAACAAAAAAACAGAAGTTACCTACTGTGTTTAATTTAAAAAGCAATAAATGAGGGACAGACGGCTGAAAAACACCGACTTGTTTCTCTTCCTTTCAGATTGACCAGCAAACCTTGTAAAACTCTCCAGCGCCTCTTTTGTATTTACACGTAATAGAAACAACAGACAAAGCCTGGAATGCTGGGAATCGATACAAAAAGTGAGATAACAGGGAACAGAGGCCACTCGTAGAGATAGGGTCCATTAATTTACACCAGGAAGCCGCTAGCCGCCGCTTCGCGTCGTCGCCCAGAGACGGATAAATGGCACGGTCAGAAAAGTTTCATTTAAACTAGCTAAATTAAATCTCTTGGGATGAGAACTTTTCTTTTCTTTGAGATATCACATGACAGCTTGCAGCAGGAGGAGGAGGTCTTGTTGCGGACGGTTCTGTGCCACACTCAGGAAACATCTGGAGAAAAGGAGAGGTCAGGTTGAAACCAGATTTGTTAGCTTCGACTTCAGATCTGACTGCCAGCGCAGCAGGAATGTGAAAATAAAAACTCACAGCTGGCAGGCTGCTCCCCGAACCGCCGCATTAGCTGGTCGTGTGTGAACTTCACGAAGGTGTCGTATTGTTCTGGAAAATAAGCAGAACATTTTGGACTTTAGTTTATCTGGAAACCAAGGAGAAGAAAAAATGGATTCCTGCTGAAGTAAACAAATTGATTTTGCCAGGAAGCTGACAATATACGTCATCTATATTTTACTGAAAGCATTTAAAGCTAGAGATGCAATGTGTGGTTCACTTGAGGCCTCTAGATGATTTACTTTTGGCCCATCAGTTCACATTTTTTGTTGATAAAATTAATCATTTTTTATATATAGTAATATTTTAATTTTTTTGTGGAACATATTTATTTTTTGTGGACTGATATCCATTTTCTGGATTTTGTAACTTGTCAGGAGATTGCAGATATGAATTAGCTTTTGCTAACTTTTAAATAAAGTTCATTATCGCAACTAATTCAGGATTTTTACAAATGCAATCTTAAATATTTAAGTACAAAACAGTATTTTCGTTTATTAAGTTTTCCGCTTTCATTGATGTTTCTGTTTGATAGAAACGTCTTAATGATTCTTAAAGTGTGATTTATATGGAGACTTTGTTCAATCATATTTTTGAGTTTACTGACATTTATCAATATTCTTGTGTAAAATACATTAAAAAACCAACAACATTTTAGTCAGTTTTTAACATTAGCTGGACTTTGTGGCAACGATAAATCACAAATCTCATCACAAGAAATTTACCTTGATAAACGATACGATAATTGTCCATCCCTAATAATTCCTTTTCTACAAAAGCTAAAGATTACGTTGCTTTATTAAAATATTACCTTTCATTTGTTAGTGAAGCAATAAAAAGCAACAAATGTCTCCAGAAATTGTTTCAGTTTTAATAAGAAAAAAAGAAATTTAAAATTGACCCTAATGCTCTCAACTTGAAAGGTTTGGATCCCGCTGGTGTTTTCTGAATATTTGACTTAATAATAAACGTTCTGTGAGAAATCATCTTTCTTTGCGTTTCTACTTGAAGAATATTCACATTTATTACACAATATTTTAGTTTATGTAAATGCAGTCGATTAACAGTCTTTACCTGCCAGTTTTGAAGTCATGGTCTCCTCATATTCCTCCCGCACCTTGTCTTCTCGCTCTTTGAGCAAGCGTTCACAGATCATCCCAACTTGCCTGAGCGTGAACAGCGGCTGTTCTTTTCTGGTCGGAGAGACGCCGCCTGAAGACGTCCCTGTTGGGGGAAAAAAAATTAAATAAATTGCTTGGAATGAGGTGGATTTAAAGTCATGCTAATGCTAATCCCAGACAAATTTACTACTTTATTTTTAAAAGTGCTGGAACAAATCCTCACAAATCCATAGTACATAAACGTTTGTAGAAGTCTGTATTTAAATATGGAGCGTTAAATAAAGGCAGGAGGGATGAGTGGAAGAGACTATGTAACCATAACAGGCGGATTGAATGCGATATTTACGAATACAAACTTTTCGTTTGTATTCATGTTTGTATCATGATGAGTGGGGAAAGTTTACTGTAATCAGCATTTTGTTCAAAATATTTCCATGTTTTCATAATAATATTCATGGATGCTTGACAAGAGGATAATTAAGTTTAGGGCGAAATCGATCAATCGATTACTGAAGTAATCGTCGACTAATTTAGTAATCAATTAATCGCTAACTGAAGTATACAGATGCAAAAAATGGCCAATTGCTGAAGAAAAAGCAGTCAGAGCCAAAACTGTGCAAAAATATGGTTCAAATAATGTTAAGAAAATCCAAATATTAAAATTAGTTAATCCAAACAAAAAACAGAATTTACCTCATTTTTAGCCAATTACTCACAAGAATAATCAATAATTAATAAATAAATAATTGTTACTTACAGATAGGGCTGATGAATAAGATTTTTTTTTTAAAAGAAATATGTTCTACCCAAAACTCCAGGGACATTTTTTACTTCACTTAGTTAAAATTCAGCAAGCAACCTTTACTATCCAATCATCAGTTCACCCAGTATATTTTTTCTTGCACTTTAGCTTAAAACAAATTTGTATTAAAAATATTAAATTGTTTAATGTATTTCTAAACTTGCATACACAAAAAAAGATGTGAAAAAGCTGCAGAATGTGCCATTTTTATCAGATTGTCATAATAATCAATAACTAAAATAAACAGTTGCAGTAAAGCTTCTAAATACACATATTCGTCCATTTTCCTTTTATTTTTTTTAACATTTGGCATCTTTCCCAGACCGACCTGGCATGCTGGATACATTCAAGGATAACTGGGAGGGGGATTCTGGAGAGTAGCAGCATTCTGGTTGTTGGTAAACTCCATCTAGGTGTTTCCTCTTCTGAATACGTTTGTACTCCTGTTTTATGTTGTTCAGGATTTGTTCTGGTGATTCAATCAAAGACACAATAAAACAGAGAAGAACAACAAGAGTCACCGGTTGTCCGTTAAACTGGTCATTCCGGAGGCCGGAGCTTTTACCTGCGCTGAGTCTGGACGATGACTCTCCAAATGGCGAGGGCTCCATGCTGAGGTACCGCCTCGGGGAGGAAGCCGATGGGGCCACCGGGATGCATCTCCGTCTTTTGGGGGACGCGGGGCTCATCAGTGGATCAAAATCCATGGTTCTCTTCAGGGTGGCTCCACACGCCATGACTTGGAAGTTGTCAAAGAAAGAGAATGGCTTTTAAAAAATGCAGGAAAATAACAATACTGAGGCCAGGTATTTCACCCAGCGACTTTAATAGTTAAAACTGTTTCTTTTCTTTTCTTTTTTCCCAAAGGAATACGTGTTGAACACACTGTGCTGGAAAGGCTTTAACAGCAGCGATCCGCCGCTAGCTTCGCCTGGAAGCCAATAATCAAAAAGAAAACAGAGCTAACACTAGCTTAGACTACCGCTGACCCTGGACTACTTCCTACATTTATATATAAATAATTTGTTTTACCTGTTAAGCGAAAGTAATTCCGACCAGAGGTGTTGACTTAGTTCTGCTGGGAGAATTGTTTTCCAGAAGTTAAGTGCCGAGCAGCCAGCTGCGGGCCAACTGTTGGTCTGCAGATAACGTTGCTACGAGCTAACGCTACTTAGCTGCTTGTTTTTGATACGAGGCTGTCGGCGTCTCCGCCCCCTGACGTCACAAGTCAAACCCGGAAGCTAGGCATTCTGGGCTATGTAGTGACATGCCGCAAGGAGAATAAAGATGATTAATTATATTCTGGGGAAATTGTCAAATAATAAAAATATGGGAAAATCAAAAGTAAAAAAATAAAATAACATTAAACTAAAAAGATTGGAATAACACTGTTAGGTTAGTTCTGATTGGTCGTTCTTTTTCTAGACTTTTGTTCATAAACGATTGTTTGGATGACTATCCCATCTAGTTCTGGATGCTGTGTATCTGGACGGATTTACGGATTTTGCTTTTACTTTTTTTTTTTTTTTTTTTACTTTTAGCCATTTGTTGTGATGCGTAACCATGACAACAAGTTATTGTTTTTACAACTTGGAGCAGCTAACAAATTCAAAGATACTTTATTGACCCCAAAAGGATATTAAATGTTGTTGTAATTCATATTAATTCCTCAGCTAAGACCCCAAAACCTCTACTCCATAGTATCTCAGCTTTCTAACCATAAAGTCAGAGATTTTAAATTATAACATATCTGCGACTAAAACATTATGTTGTGAGAAACTGACCTTTGAGTTTTAATTAGCTGTAAATTTGAAACATAAAAAATGGCATAATAGGTGCAATAAATATATAATCTAAACGTTTACATTCTTAAATTTAAAACAATAAAACACTTTATTTTACCGTATTCTGACTATTACTTGTTCTCAATTCATTTCTTACACATGTCCACAAGATGGCAACGTTACCCATAAAAAAACTAAAATTGATTTACTAATAAATCTGGTGATGCACGACACTTTGTAGTATCAGAAACAAACATTTATATGTTTAAAAACAATATAAAGATGTATTTAGTCATCCAGGGAGTATGGAATGTAGTTCCAAGGAGCTACATTTTTTGACTTTGAATCCTGAAATTAAAAGAGTTTGCAGCAAGAGAGCTAGTCAGTCACATCCTGTAATCTCTTGGGTTTCCTTTCATTTAAAACTTTTAAACCAGTTTAAGTCATAAAATTAACTTTACTGCATTGTTAATCAGGCAGTTTGTAAGGAAAGGCTGCAAACCGCAGGCTTAAATAGGCAAAGCTAGCAAAGCTTTTAACTAATAAAACATCAACAGAAGGCGATAAACTGGGATATTCAGTTTATTTTAAAAAGACATCCAACATTTGAACCAAATAAGGACAAAAATAGATAAAATTCACACCTTACAAAGTACTTCCTTGCTTGTAAATACTGTTATGTGACACAGTGGCACAATAGCTGTTGTACAGGAATGATGCAGTGCAGGATTAAAATTTTTTTTTTTTGTAAATACAATTAATAATTACCGAAACAAAATATTAAAAAATATTTTCACAACAGATCACTGTCAAAATGTTGCAGCATTATGTAGTAAAAATGAATAAAATACAACACATCACAGCTGAAAAGATCTTCACTTTTTAAGCAGGAGCAAAGGCAACAAAGCATCAGTAGATCCTCCAACACAAAAATGTCCTTCATCAAAATGTTTTTTAGTTATTAAAAAAAATCTAGGCCTGGGCAATACATTTATTTTATCGATTAATTAAATGTTTGAATACTTAATTTTTGGAAAATCTGAATTTTTCACAGTCCAGAGTTTTGTCCTCTTGCCCGAAGCCGCCATTTTGTTTCACAAGCGCATTTTAAAGCTTCTATTTATTTGGACTGTGAATTCAAGTCAACTCTAAGTCAGAATATTAGGATTGATTTAACATTTATTTTCTTTTAACTACAAGAATACAATCATAATGTAAGAAGAATAAAGTAGTAATTTTATGAAAAATAACCAAATATTCAAATGAGCACTGCTGAGCACCTCGTGAAGTTACTTTGGTGTAAATTTTACACATAATACTTAATGTTTTCACAGTATCAAATCAAATTATTATCAGCAGAAGTGAAACGATTGTGCAAACAACTGAGTCACTTCAAACCCTTATAACTCTGAGCAAACAACCTTTTGTTGTTTGCTCAAAAACAAAAAATTTTTACCAGAAAAAAAATCTGGCCAAACGTAAAATTTTTTTACCAGAAAAAATTTAATGTTTTTTCTGGTAGAATTGTCTTTATTCTGCTAATATTATGATTATATTGTTGTCATAATTAAACAAAACATTCTGGTGGCCTGGCCCTAAGGGATGATTGAAATAAAATCCACTTTTTGAAAATATTTTTCTTTCATTTGTAGTTTTTACTTAGTAAGCTATGAAAATAATGAATAAAATTACAAGAATAGACATAAAATTACAAGAATAAAGTCATAGCATTATGTGAAAAATGAGAGTATTCCAACTTAATTCTCTAAATATTATGAATTTATTTTTGTAATTTTTTTTATTTTCATTTTTTTTCTTAGTATGGCCCTAGTAGTCCATCCATCTTTTAGAAAAGAAAAAAATCGATTAAAATCAAAAATCGGTCATATCACCGAGGTCTAAAAGTATCCATCATCTTTTTTTTAATCCATAAAATCCTATTTCTTTTTTTCTTGTTATTTTGGCACATTTTGTAGTAACAAAGCTAACAGATCAGAGACTAAACAACACTATTAGTTTCACAGTTGTGCAGAAGCACCGTTGGTTTCAGACGGGCTCTGCAGTAGAAGACTCCGTGCCTCCAGAAACTCTAACCTGAGCTACTTTCGCTTCAGTTTTCTCACGGCGGCCGCGTTTTCTTTCCGCCCTGCCAGCTGCTGCCGCGGCGGCGGCGGCTGCTCTCATGCTCCTGCTGGTCCAGTCGCTCTCGGCGCTGCTGTCCAGGGTCTGGGAGCCTCCGCGCCACATGTGGCAGATGTTGCGGAAGGCCCTGCGCAGGTCTTTGCTCCTCATGGCGTAGATCACGGGGTTCACAGTGGAGTTGAGCAGACACAGCATGCTGCAGAAGGCGAACACGGTCTTGATGAAGTCGTCCACCTTCCCGAAGAGGTCGTAAACCATGATGGCAAGTAGAGGGCCCCAGCAGATGATGAGGGCCACCAGGATCATGACCAAAGTTTTGGCCAGGCGGAGGTCCATCCGGGCTTGCTCGGGTCTCACCGTTTGCACTTTGGCGCCTTCTGCGGTGTAGATGATCACGCTCCTCTGGGAGGTCCGGCTCAGCATGCGGACGGCGTGGTGGTGCGACTTCCAGAGGATGAACATGTAGGCATAGATGATGAACAACACCAAGACGCTCGTTATCCCAATCCAGAACATGAGGTACCTCCGGTCAATCAGCGGGAAAATGTCCGAGCAGACGGAGCCGAGCCGCTTGCAGTTCCAGCCGAGCAGCGGCAGCAACGAGATGACGATGGAGATGGTCCACATCATGCTGAAGGCGATCACCGCCTTCGTTTTGGTGACGATACGCTTGTACGCCATAGGCCTGTGGATGGAGATGTAGCGGTCAATGGCGGTGAGGAAGAGACTCCCGACGGAGGCCGTGAAGGAGGCGATGACTCCGGCCAGCTTGAAGAGGAAAACGTTAGGGCTGTCCTTCCTGTGGAGAACATGGAAGTCCAAGAAGCTGTAGACGAAAATGATGCTTCCAATGAGATCGGCCACAGCCAGGCTGCCGATAAAGTGGTAAGAAGGCCGAGATCGAAGCGTTTGCGAGTGGAGGATCACACACAGAACCATGAAGTTCTCCAACACGGTGAAGGTACCCAAAGTGAGCGCCAAGATGACGATCGCAAGCTGCTGACTAGGGGTGAGGATCATGAAGCACTCAAGGTTGTCCGCTACATTCTCCGCACACTGCGGCGCATCGACGCTCTCCACGGCGGTGGCGTTACCCAGCGCTAATCCCGAGATGTTGGTGGGAAAAACCGGAGCAATGGCAGTGAAAATCACCTCCTTAGTTCCAAGGACGAAGCCATTCTTTGATAGGCCGGAGTCGACGGAGAGGTCATCGTAGCTGGCGTCGTTGGAGCCCAGGTACTGCACACCTGTCGTGAGCGCGCTCATAGCCGTGCCAGCCATCCGGTGCGCAGCCAACTTCATAGCCGCAGAGATGCTCAGTGAAGAGGCGAGTTGGGTAACAGCATCAGGTGAAGGAACACCTAAAAGACAAAAGAATGTTTGGTTTCCATTGAAGGGGTGTTGTGTTTTCCAGTAACATAGTGCCATTTTATAGCACAATCAGCTAACTATGGTAACTTCAGTTGTAAAAATATTACATATGTTAAATATGCTGCAGTATGTAACTTTGACATATTTGTTCAAACAGTCACCATGTTATGACAGTATAAGTTGAGACAGATAATCTGTAAAAGGATCGATGTTCTCCCTGAGCTGCTATTACCATCTGAAGAAATGCAAAAACAGCCAATCAGAACCAGGAGGAGGATCTTAGCGCTGTCCATCAACCATATGTACTCACTGCTAAATGTGCTAATGGCGGAGTGGCTATGCTAACTAGCATACACCATAGCAGAGAGGCAGGGGGCCAGGTGGAAGAAGGATGAGCCATATGATATTGTGATTGACAGCGCTAAGACCCGCCTCCTGGCTCTGCTTGGTTGTTTCTAGTTAGCACTAGGACAGATTTTTATCAGATCATCTGTCTCATACCAAACTATCATGACTCACGACATGATAATAGTTTAAACAAATATGTAAAAAAAATATGGATTTTTTTTTTTGTTGTTGTAAAAGTTACATAATGCAGCTTTAAAAGAAATCTGACTTTGTAATGTAATGCCTTGAAATTGGGCCTCTGCCTCTTTAAAAACTCCTGCTCTTTCTGAAACTCCAGCTTCAGGAAGCCATCATGTTTATTTTTACCAGTGTTTCACAGAAAACTTTCTCCTATAGTGAGTTCGGCTGATGTGCAGCTCCACCAGATGTTTGCTAATTGATGCTGGCTAGTCTGAAGGAGCTGCTGCTCTGTGAGGCAGAAGCTTGTTAGTTTGGAAACTGAAGCTCTGAGGAGGACCTCCGTCCTCGAAGTCTGGGCTAGGTCCATTCAGGCTTTTTGGATAGCTGAATGGAGATTAAAGGATGAATAAAACTTGCATGAAAGAATCAAGGCAACACTGCAGGTATGTTTTTAATGAACAAATAACACAATGCAAAGGTATTTTAAAAAATTGAGGAGGAGCTTTATCCTCGGAGGCGGAGCTAGGTCCAACCAGGCGTTTAATGGTTGCCATGACGATTAAATATTTTTTTTCAAACATGCATTAAAGAATCAAGGCAACACTCCAGGTATGTTTTTGATGAGGGAATAACATTATAACATGATGTAAAGCTCTAAAAAATTATTTTTACATAATTCTCCCCTTTAAGAATGCAATAATTTTTTATTTAAAGTGATTTTAGTTTCAAATTTAAAGGAAAAATAAAACTTAGGGGCGCAGCTGACTCACAGTTGCATCCTAGACAATAGTGGGAAACTGAACAGTTGACGAACCTTTGCAGCCTCAGGGCATGGAGGAAACCAGGGGCATTCTTATTAATTAAATCAGGTCATTACGCATTAAAGCTGTTTTTTAATCCAGTAATCACCGGATTAATTAGGCATCATGGGGCCAGCTCGGGGGATTAAGAATATCGGGGGATTAAGAATATCTGATCAATAAACCTTTAAAATTTGGTGACAGAATTCAGGATATGAATTATTTACACTCAGATTTACATAATTATTTAGCAATAAGACATCAAGAAGACCTAATGATTCAGGAGCAGCACTTATATAAAAAATGAAAATGAGAAATAATTTATTAATTTTAATTATAGCTGCATGTAGTAAAGTTTGAAAAACACAAACCTTCATTGTTTCGCTCCAAATATCCCGCAGTGATCCATGCCGTGGAAATAAGTGCAAAGTCCGGGTGAGGAAAACCTGAGAAGTGAGAGTTAATTAGCAGTAGTTGTTGCTATGGGGATGATTGCAGGAGAATAATCCCGTTTGCAGCCTTCAGACAGACGCGGTGAGCATCAGAGCCAGGCTGGCTGTGCGCTGCTGTGGGAGAGGGGCGGTTATAAAGCGGCGCTTTGTGCGCCAGCCGCATGGTCACGTGACCTGAGGTGTTGGAGCGCAGCTCACGGTTCTCATCACTATCTGTTATAAATAAACACATTAACAGCTGCGGATGAGCTTTAGCTCCCCTCCGTTAATGAATCGCACAAGACAGAAGGCGCTTTTTAATATTTTTACAGCTTTTTACGGGTGCAACTTTTTAATGTGAATTTAGAGTGATTAAACTGTTGTGTGTATCCACAATTTGCATCCAATTGTAACATGTTTTTACTCAAGTGAAAGTAAAAATTAACAGTCTAGAAAATTGCTCAAGAGTAAAAAAGTATCTGGAGGATAAGTACTGAGTAACTGACCAGAACGCCCGATTTAAAAACGGAAGATAAAAGAGTAAAGTTATGAATAAATTCTGGCATTTTAAAAACAAAAATAATGCAAATAATAAATATGTTTAAAAAACAGAGTCAACACTTTTCCTATTCATAAAAAGAAACAATGAAACTTTAAATTATTACGGTCGATAGTGCAAATGTTTACTTCCAGTAATGACTCAGACTCAGCATTATAATTATAATGCCATTCTAATCTTAGAAGATTATAAAAACATACTTTGTACAGAAACAAGAAGTCTACTATGTCAGATGCATGTTTTGTTTTTTCTTCATTAAGTGAAGTTCAGTAACCAGAAAATTTAGTCAAACAAGAGTAGCAATACTTAATTATAAAATGACTCAAGTAAGTAAGGAATACAGTAAAAGAACTTAAGTGTAAATTTTTTTCAAAACTCAAACATAACTGAGTAATATTTACAATAAATAAGTACCATTGTTATTAAGTTCAGAACAGTGTTTTATCGGCGTCGACTCGATTTTGAGATATTCAATTTTGAGATATTTCTGCTTAAGTGACTGTTAACCGCCATTAGCCTAAATGCTAAATACCGTCAGTGTCACCATTAACCACCGTTAGCCTAAACACTAATTACCATCAGTGTGACCATTAACTGCCATTAGCCTAAATGCTAAATACTGTCAGTGTAACCATTAACCACCGTTAGCCTATATGCTAACTACTGTTAGCCTAAATACTAATTACCATCAGTGTGACCATTAACTGTCGTTAGCCTAAATGCTAATTACCATCAGTGTGACTACTAACTGCCGTTAGTCTAAATGCGAACTACTGTTAGCCTAAATACTAATTACCATCAGTGTGACCATTAACTGTCGTTAGCCTAAACGCTAATTACCATCAGTGTGACCAT